CCGGTTCTCAGAATACGTGTTGAAAATCTCCATGATCTCTTCTCTGTGTGCAACCATGCGGTAAATGGCTCTGAATTCCTCGATGGTGATCCTTCCCTTCCCCTGTCTGTCGTTATCCTACTAAAGAGAAATGAATGGCTGGTGGGTTCATGTCGTGAGGATCCAACATTCACTTGGCGAATGTGACTCCTGTCATGGGCAGCAATTCTTGAAACTTAGATTCCATTCTTATGAATGGAATAATAAATAAATAAGTAAACAAACAAATAAAGAAATACAGAACTACCCTCTGAACCAGCAATTCCACTCTTGGGCATATACCCATCCCCAAAAAATCACAAATCAGGATTCAGTAAAACCGCCAACACAACCATATTCATTGCTGCACTATTCACCATAGCCAAGACACAGAATCAGCTCAGATGCCCCTCAGTGGCCAAATGGATGAAGACAATATGGTACAGATACACAATGGGATTTTACTCACACTTTCTTAACAACGATATTACATCAGGGCTGGGAAGGTGGCTCAGTGGTGGAGCGCTTGCCTCACATGCATGGGGCCCTGGGTTCGATTCCTCAGCACCACATAAGCAGAAAAAAGCCGGAAGTAGCGCTGTGGCTCAAGTGGTAGGGCACTAACCTTGAGCTGAAGAGCTGAGGGACAGCGCCCAGGCCCAGAGATCAGTCCCCATGTCCAAAAAAACAAAAGAATGATATTACATCATTTTCAAAGAAATGGATAGATCTAGAAAGAAAATTATGTAACTCGGGCCTCAGAGAGACAAAAGACACACGTTCTGTCTCATCCGTGAAAGTGAGATCTAATCTACAGATATATAAGCAAACATACAGGAGACTGCATTCATGGATACACACATCAATTAACCAAAATACAGTACCAGCAGGGGGAAATTTAAACAATTCCTTAGGGAAAAAAATGAACTCCTAATCCAATGAAGTGAATTCGAGGAAACTGGTACTTGAAGAGAGAAGAGAAGTAAGGGGAAGAGGGAGACAAAGGAAGAGAGGAAGGGAGGAGAATACAGGCATAATATTCCATTCATATCCCACACAGCCAGGAAAACTGAGGGGACAGGGGTTGGGAGGGATGAGGGACAATGCTGGAAGGGGTGACATTGATGAAGAAGCATTACACTCATAAACTGACCCGTTGAATGCCCATCACTTTGTACAATGACTTGAAGAGAACAAACATAGACAAGGTAAAAAGTAGCCAATTAAAGACAGTAAAATTTGCTGAGTGCCACCTCTCTGGCTCACGCCTGTCATCCCAGCGACTCAGGAGGCTGAGATCTGAGGATCACAGTTCAAAGCCAGCCTGGGCAGGAAAGTCCGTGAGACTCTGATCTCAGGTGAACCACCAGAAAACCAGAAGTGGCGTAATATATATGTTATTATACATATTATTAATATATATGTATCCACAGTTCATCTTAGCACCCTCTAAATTCTCTCCATGTAGATTTTAAATGGAACTCCCGTATTTAATTCCTTCTGTCCATCAGGGACTAATTTCCAGTGTATCTTTTCTAGAAAGAGTATTCAAGGTGGTTACAAATGATCACTTACATTAGACTAATTTCATCTCACCTTAAAAATTTGTCTCATGTGACTCTCATTACACTGAAAGTCTAGTTTTTCCAGTAACTTCTGCGTCTTCATTAGGTCAATTTTGCCACCTCGGAATTCTTCCTGAATCTTTGACAAAAACCACGTAAGAGGCACAATAAGAAGGGGAAAAATAAGTTAAGGAAATTCTCCAGGAAAGCCACGGAGAAGCTGCTGTTCTTAAACATCTAGTTTATTCTTCCGGCCTACTGTATTTTGTTTTTAATTTTAAAGGAGAAGGTGATTTTATAATAAATAACATTGAAAGCAAGATCATAACTCTACACGTTGTACACGCCTAACACCTAAGAAAGAATGAAAATTAAAACTGGCGCTCTACCACTTGAGCCACAGCACCACTTCCGGTTTTCTGGTGGTTCATGGGAGATGAGAGTCTCACAGACTTTCCTGCCTGGGCTGGCCTTGAACCGCGATCCTCAGATCTCAGCCTCCTGAGTAGCTGGGATGTCAGGCATGAGTCACTGACACCAGCTGGGGAAATATATTAAAACATGATTACAGTGTGGTGAATGACACATGAAATTCTAGATGTCAAGCTTCGACACTTTACCCTACCTGCTCCAAGAAGGTGGAAAAATCGAGAATCTTCTAGAAGGTAGAAACATTAAATAAGTTTATAATATAGATGCACCTGCACTGTCCTGGTACTGGTGGCTCCCGCCTGTCACCCCAGCTACTCAGGAGGCTGAGATCTGAGGATCTTGGTTCAAAGCCAGCCCCGAGCAGGAAAATCTGAACCTTACTTCCAATTAACGACTCAAAAAGCCAGAAGTGGTGCTGTGGTTCAAGTGGTAGAGTGCTAGCCTTGTGTGAAAATGCTCAGGGCCAGCCTCCAGGCCCTGAGTTCAAGGTTCAGGACTGGGGAAAGGGGGGGGGAGGGAGAATCGGACTCAATTTTCTATTGTTAGAAGCCGATTCCCACAATGGCTACAAGGTCATGATAAAGATTTGATATTCCAAAGAGAAAAAAACAAGATAACTCTCAGGACAGATGTGGAAGAAAAGTCAATGAGAGAAAGAGACAGACAGACAGACAGAGAGGGAGGGAGGGAGGGAGGGAGGGAGGGACAGAGAAAGTTCACTTCAGGACTGGTTAAGGGAGATCAGAGAGGGTCTCAGAGCCAGGAGAAAGGAGAGACAGACAGACAGACAAACAGACAGACAGACAGACAGAAGGAACTTGGGTAAGGATATCTGGCTTCGAACTTCTCGTGATTCCGCTGGATCAAAAGGTGTTGTGACAGAATCCCAACAGAGCCAATTCTGTCTCTTTGTAGAAAAGAACTTTCTTGAGATCCGTTAGCCGTCTCCATTGCTTTTCTTTGTCTGGGAAGAAAGCAGACAAGCCCAAGGGGTTTTGCGGCCTCGGCAGCAGTGATACTTACTAGACACCGTGTCGGACGTGAACCTTACGGGCTGGGCAGGTGGCTCAGGGGTAGAGTGCTCGCCTAGCATGCATGAAGCCCTGGGTTCGATTCCTCAGTGCCACATAAGCAGAAAAAGCCAGAAGTGGCGCTGTGGCTCAAGTGGTAGAGCGCCAGCCTTGAGCAGAAGATGATCAGGGACAGTGAACTTTACAACTTGGGGGGGGGTGTAGGGAGTAGGGGGAGAAATAGGAGAAAATGAGGGAAAAGAAATGTACTCATGACCTGACTGATGTAACTGTGGCCCCTCTGTACCCCACCTCTACAATAAAATTAAAATTAAAAAATAAGATAAAACTACCACCTAACAGGTGCACCCTTTATGATCTTCTCCCTACTCCTATTTTTTTCACTTCTTGATTCTCTTTTGCTCATTTGCAAATGCTCATTGTCACCTTATTGTAAATATGTTATCTATTCATATATATGTTCTGTGTATTTCTATATAACATCTATGTTATATATTATTTTGCATTTTTTATTATTGTAAAGATGATGTACAGCAGGATTAAAGTCACAAAAGTCAGGTAGAGAGTACAATTCTCTTTTGCTTTTCTTTTCTTTTTCTTTGCTGGTGCTGGAGCTTGAACTCAGAGCCTGGGCACTGTTCAGGGCTGGTGCTCTACCACTTTGAGCCACAACTTCACTTCTGCTTTTCTGGTGCTTCATTGGATATAAGAGCCTCATGGACTTTCCTGCCAGGGCTGGCTTTGAACTGCGATCCTCAGATCTCAGCCTCCTGAGCAGCTGGGATGACAGACGTGAGCCACCAGTGTCCTGAGAGAGCATTTCTTTGGGGACCCTGTCCCCCCTTCCCTTGCTCTCTCCCCAATTTTTCCCTCCCGTCCCCACCCACCAGTGGTAGAGTTCATTCTCCACCTGGTGTCCAGTGAGGACCACGGCTGCCTTGGTTTCCCCTCTGTCCCCCCATTTCTGTGCTCCCCCTCACCCTCCCAGAGACAGAGAAACCCACAAAGAAAAAAACCTCTTGTTTCCATTTCCTAAGTTCATGTTGATAAATATTATTTTGTATGACCAGAGTCACATAGCTAATACATCTTAGTGATCCTCTCCGTATGTAATATACCTAATATCATAGCTAGACAGACCGACAGACAGAGACAGACAGATGAATACGGATAGCTAGGTAGGTAGGTAGATAGATGAATAGGTAGATGGACAAACAGACAAATCAAATAATAGATTATAGATGAACTCTTCAGACCTTCTGTCCATCAAAATATAGGCCTCGTAGTGGATTGCGGAAGCTATGGTAAAGACTGGCTTTAAGACTAGAAACTCTGAACTATTCTCTACATTTCCAAGAACACACAACACGAAAGAGGAGAGTTGGGGGAGCGGGGGAGAGGAGAAAAACACACCCCTTTTTGAAAAGAAGGTCTGGTCTAGGAGATGAAGTTCTTCAGATTCTTCAAACTGGGCCCATCCTGTTGTCTGAATACCCCCTTAACTTAGATGTCTGCCATTTTCTTCCTTTTTTTTTGTCTTTTCTTTTCTTTTCTTTTCTTTTCTTTTCCCCTTTGTCTGGAACTCCATTGTGATCTCAGTGAGAGTTCCACATTCCTTCCAGAGAGAAGTTCCTTTGTGAGTTCAGCAAGCAGCCCCCACCCCCCCTCAGAACTCACCGAGACCTCTCCCCCCACCCCCTACACACACACACACACACACACACACACACACACACACACACACCCCTTGAACCCCACATTGGCATCTTCATGGTTGACGATCGTCATCATCTTCACCTTGAATGATCAACACCTTGGTGGAGGGGGAGAGAAATCAGAAAAGCCAAAGAAGAGGTGAGGGGGTGGGGGGGGCTAGAAGTCCAGTGTCATGGTATGCGTTCTCTGAATCCTCTTGCCTCCAGAAGCTTCTCCCCCTCCTGGCCTTCGGCAGATCATGTCCCTTAGCATCCTGAGTCGGAAGGAGAAGGAGAAGGCCATTCGCAGGCTGCTGGTCCAGGTGCCCCCGGGAGAGTTCGTCAACGCCTTTGATGACCTCTGCCTGCTGATCCGAGATGAGAAGCTCATGCACCATCAGGGAGAATTCGCAGGCCACCTGCACTGCCAGAAGTATTCTGTACCCCTGTGCATCGACGGGAACCCGGTCATCCTCTCTCATCACAACCTCATGGGCGATCGCTTCTTCGACTACCAGAGCAAGCTGTCCTTCAAGTACGACCTGCTGCAGAACCAGCTCAGGGACATCCAGAGTCACGGGATCCTTCGCAATGAGGTCGAATACCTGAGGAACGTGGTCCTGTGTGCCCTGAAACTCTACGTCAACGATCATTACCCAGCAGGCAGCTGTAACGTCCTCAGGAAGACCATCCACCAGAAGGAGTTCCTGATCGCCTGCATTGAGGACCACAGCTACAACTCCGGGGCTTTCTGGAACGGTCTGTGGAAATCCAAATGGATCTTTCAGGTTAATCCCTTCCTCACCCAGATCACCGGGAGGGTCTTCGTGCAAGCTCACTTCTTCAAGGGGGTCAACCTGCACCTGCAGCTGTCCAAGGATCTCAAGGAGAGCGTAGAAGTGGTGAACCAAGCCCAGCTGGCGCTCAGTTTTGCCCGGCTGGTGGAAGAGCAGGAGAATCAGTTCCAGGCTGCCGTCCTGGAGGAGCTGCAGGAATTATCCAGGCAGGCCCTCCGGGGCATTCTCCGCAGAGACCTTCCTGTCACCCGCACGCTCATCGATTGGCAGAGGATCCTGGCAGACCTGCACCTGGTCATGTACCCCAAGCTGGGCTACGTCATTTATTCCCGAAGTGTGCTGTGTAACTGGATCATATAATGAAGTCTGCCTGGCTATGCTCTACGCCTGTCTGGTTTGTGTTTCTTGGGGAGGAGGCCTTACCCAGGGTTAGGGAGTAGTGGTTTTATTTAGGTCGTATTTACCAGGTAGTCTTTCTTTAAAGATAGGGAAGGGGGAAAAGAAGAGGAACATAACGTACATATGACCAAGTTAGATGTTCGTAAAAGCTGGGGCGTGAGAAGGAAGATGGGTTCTAAATTTGCCTTAGGGTATTTTAGAATGTAAAATACTTGCCCAGGCATCAGTGGCTCCCGCCTGTCATCCCAGCTACTCAGGAGGCTGAGATCGGAGGATCACGGTTCAAAGCCAGCCTGGACAGGAAAGGCCGTGAGACTCTGATCTCCAATGAACCACCAGAAAACCAGAAGTGGTGCTGTGGCTCAAGTGGTAGAGCCTGAGTTCAAGACCCAAAACTGACCACAAAAATATACATATATATGTGTGTGTGTGTGTGTGTGTGTGTGTGTGTGTGTGTGTGTGTGTGTGTGTGTATAATACTTTACTATTAAAATACATTGGGGTAGAAAATGCTTTTACATCAATTCTCAAGATAAATTTTCAAGATAGAAAATACCTTATATATAGCCAGGCACTGGTGGCTCACGCCTGTAATCCTAGCTACTCAGGAGGCTGAGATCTGAGGATTGCGGTTCAAAGCCAGCCCAGGCACTTATCTCCAATAAACCACTAGAAAACCACAAGTGGCACTGTGGCTCAAGTGGTGGAGTGCTGGTCTCGAGCTGAAGAGCACAGGGACAGTGCCCAAGCCCAGAGTTCAAGCCCCACGACCGACAAAAATAAGATACCTTATATATATTTTATATGAAATATCTTTTTATCATTATACTGTATCTTATCTATACTGTATCTTATCTATTATCATTATACTGTATCTTATCTATTTTGTTATATTTATATTTCACAAGAAATATCTTTTATTTGTACTGCATTTTAGTGTATGATATATATTTTATTGGGGCCGGGCAGGTGGCTCAGTGGTAGAGCGCTTGCCTCTCATGCATGAGGCCCTGGGTTCGATTCCTCAGCACCACATAAGCAGAAAAAGCCAGAAGTGACGCTGTGGCTCAAGTGGTAGAGCGCTAGCCTTGAGCTGAAGAGCTGAGGGACAGCGCCCAGGCCCTGAGTTCAAGCCCCACAACTAACAAAAAAATTTTTTTTATTTACACGAAATATATTTTATATTTTATAACTACGCCAAAGTGTTTCAAGCGCTAAAATACTTATGATACTGCAGAAATACTGAATAAGTAGTGGCCAGGATTAAGGGTGTGTGTGTGTGTGTGTGTGTGTGTGTGTGTGTGTGTGTGTGTGACAATCTTGGGACTTGAACCCAGAGCCTGGACACTGTCCCTGAGCTTTTATACTCCATGCTTATGCTCTACCACTTGAGCCACAGATCTGCTTCTGGCTTTGTTTTAGTAGTAGTTTCTTGGAGTTAAGAGTCTCGGGGCCTTTCTTGCCCAGGCTGGCTTTGAACCGCAATCCTCACACGTCATCCTGCTGAATAGCTGGGATTGATAGGTGTGACATGTCTTATAATAAAGCCTTTGTGCACAATGTCATTTTGCTGCTGCTGTGTTAATCATCCATCTGGTTCTAACTTTATCCACATTTTCTGCAGAAGAACCTAAGGTTTCCCATTGAGTTGTTCAGACAGACAGGGTCTGCTTAGGCTGAGAATGAGCCACAATAAACAGCAGAAAATACATGGTGACCATTTTGGAGACTGGAAACCCAAGACCGAGATTCTGGTAGAAGCCGTGTCTAAATGCCAGCCTCGTTCCCCACAGAGCTCAGCGTCCAGGCCTCCAACATCTCCCAGACAGCTTATACCACAGCAGTAACCCCATATGTAAAAACTAAGATTAGCTGGGCACTGGTGGCTCCCGCCTGTCATCCCAGCTACTCAGGAGGCTGAGATCTGAGGATCACGGTTCAAAGCCAGTCCTGGGGGCCAGGAAAGGTCTCAAGAATCTCATCTCCAAGGAACCAGCAAAAAAAAAAAGCTCAAGTGGTAGAGCGCCAGCCTTGAATGAAAGAGTTAAGAGACAGCACCCAGACCCTGAGTTCAAGCCCCTGGACTGACACTACTAATATTAACATTATATTAATTATAACAATATTAATAATAACAATTTTTTTATAAAACGAGTCCATGCATGTCAGCTTTCCCAACTTCCACAACCTGGCTAGAGGAAAGAAAACTCTGGAAAAAGAAGCAAATGGCAGAATCTCAGACACAACTGCTCTGCAGAGATTTCTCACAAGCCTACATTAAATCAGGCTTTCCCGGACTCCTCTCCTCTTGCTCATTTAGAAAGGCCAGAAGTTGAAGAAATATATCTGTGTGCTACGCAAAAAGCTGAGTTGCGAAGCTGTTCAAGTAATGTGTGTTTTTTTTTCTTTTTCTCTTTTTTTTTGGGGGGGGGCATTTTCATTCTCCTAGAGAGAGTAGGGAAGGAAGTGGGGACAGTGTCTCCCCCTAAATTAGAAAGGCATCAGCTCTGCTGACTTCATTTTGTTGTACGGAAATATAATTCTGGCCCTACTGGGTTGGTTATTTGGGGGTTTTCTTTTCTGTTTATGTTTGTTTTTATCTTCTTGAGTCACTTTTTGTCTTATTTTAGAACATGTCTCCTCCACAATGATCAGATTCATACCAGGAAGAAGCTATAGCAGGAGGAGAATTCACTCATTGGACAGATTGATTTATTTTTTTCCCCCTTCACGAGGAGCTGTGATCTGTCTCTTCAGCCAAGGAGCCGTGAAAGCCAGAGCGTGTACACAGCTGAGGGAAATAAGCAGCTAGGCCACAAGTAGAACAAAATCAGCACCGCGATTCCCAAACACAGTGGAGAGTAACCAGCATGCACCATTAGAGAGCGCACAGCACCCAGAGCAGTTCACGCCTGTCATCCCAGCAACTCAGGAGGCTGAGATCTGAGGATCACAGTTCAAAACCAGCCCGGGCAGGAAAGTCTGTGAGACTCTATTTCCAGTGAACCGCTCAAAGAGCTAGAACATGCTCAAGTGGTAGAGCACTAGCCTTGAACAAAAAGATCAGGGACAGCATCCAGGCCCTGAGTTCAAGCCCCAGGACCAGCACAAAGAGAAGGGGGGGGCGGGGAAAGACAGACAGAGACAAAGACAGAGAGTCAGAGAGACAGAGACAGACAGACAGAAAGAAAGAAGAAATATCAAAAAGTGAACAAGCATTTCTCTGATTTTTATATAGTTCCTTTATCACCTTGAACTTTTTCATCTAATCTCACCAGATTTTACCTTACAATAAAATAAGTTCAGGCTAAAAAAAAATAAAATCTTTTGTTGATCATTCTACCTTGCTACCAATAATGTGTATTTTTGAAACTTTTCTTTTTGATCAACAAGTATCCAAAGCAATATAACCAATTTGCTTCCCATAAAGACATTGTAGCGGGGCGCGGGTGGCGCATGCCTGTCATTCTATTCAGGAGGCTGAGATGTGAGGATTGTGATTCAAAGCCAGCCTGGGCAGAAATGTCAGTGAAGCTCTTAACACCAATAAATTACTCACAAAAAGCCAGCAGTGTGGCTGTGGTTCAAGGGGTAGAGCACCAGCCTTGAGCAAAAGAGCTCAGGGACAGCGCCCAGGCCCAGAGTTCAAACCCCGGGACCAACCCAAAAAATTAATAAAATTAAATAAATAAATACATTACAAATTTGGTAAGATTATTAAAGATGAGCGACACCACACATTAGTAATACCCCTCATTACAATATGGGTCAGGCTGATTTACTCAGCGTCTGAAACGACAGATAAATATTATTTAGCGCTATGATTGCACGACACCAGGTGTATTTGTATATCTGTATATTTATAGGTATGAGCAAGTTTGGTTAAAATGGGGAGGAGAGACAAGGACGTCAATAGAGTGAATTTGATCAAAGCACATTTTATATGCATGTAGGGAAATGACACCGTGCAACCCTATTGTACAATTAACACACGAATTAAAAAATTAGGTCATAGAAAGGAATATCGAGATGAAACATTTACCAAAACGAGATGGCATATATAATTTTGTATTTTCAGAATTAGACACACACACACATATGAAACATAAATAATGAAGGGAAGAATTCAACTTTCCAAAGCCAAACGCTATATATTTTTTTCACATTTATGATGCTAAAATATTGAAGAAGGGAAAGCCGACCAGAAAACCAAGTCAGGAAAAAAAAAATCACTCAAGTGTTTTCATTTCCATTTTGAAAATTAATCTTGCAACGTTTTACACACACACACGAAAAAAATCTTATAATCGGTTCTGTCGTTAATTAAAATTTCATTAGTGAGCAGATAGAAAAGGCAAAGCGTAGCTGAAGTATTCATTATTCTTTCTTCGGTGACTAATGAACCAAAGCCTCAAGCAAAATCTACCTTGGAGTCACGTTTCCTCTGGTTTTTCCACATGCAGGAAGTTAAAAGCAAGAAAGAAGTCTTCCTCTATTGGCAACGATGATTGGAATTTTGTTATCCTCATTAAATTGGGAATGTAAATGTCTTTGGTCATGCATGCAGAAAAGTGAACTACTGCTCCATCTACCAGCGGTCTTTCCCATCCCAAGCACTTCAGTAATTAAGATTCTCCTTGAAGTTTTCATGCTCACATTATTATTTTTCGTCAACATTTTCCTGCTTGCCCCGCGGGCCGGTGTGAATTTCCATCAACGGCATTAATTAAATATTCCTATCTGTGAGTTCTGTACGGGGGGGGGGAAAGGATGCGATTTCACTCTGTAGAATTTGGGTCCAAATGAATCTGCAAGAACTTACCCATCGGTTGAGATGCCAAGGTTTTGTGTGTGTGTGTGTGTGTGTGTGTGTGTGTGTGTGTCTGTCTGTCTGTCTGTCTGTCTCCCTCTCCTTTTTCTCTGTCCCTCCCACTACGAGACAAATTAAGTCTTTCTTCCTC